CCCCCCCCCTCCCCCCCGTCTTTCCCTCCCCTTCGCCCCCATCTGTGTAATGAACTGTGTATGTGTATGAGATGCGGAGTCACTCAGGAAAGTTCGTGACATTAAACACGAGAGATTGCGCTTCTAGCCATTCGCCATGCTTGCCAGGTGTTTATTTTGTCGACTGTTAGTACTACTAAAGCAACTTCCTGTCGTTTTTTTTTCCTCTCGTGAATTATGAGGTTTGACAAGTTAAAAGATTAATTTTCGTTTGAGCACCGGTATTTTGAGATGTTTGCCGGATAATTTGAGGAATGAAAAAAGAGAAAATTGCTTCCATTTTTTCATTTTTGTTATTTCAGGTATTGATCCCGAACTTCAGGCACCCGCATTTCAATTTTGTTGGTAAAATTTTGGGACCGAAAGGAGCGACACTGCAAGCGATGGCCAAACAGTTCAAATGCCATATTTATGTGTTGGGACGAGGCTCCACCAAGGATCGTGCTAAGGTTCATGGATTTTTTGGTTCATTACACGATTTTATTTCGAATTTGAAAATTGCAGAGTTCAGGTCGTGAACAAGTTCTGAAATGAATTACAGTTTTTACGGAGCGTAAAATGCCTAGAAATTGGATTCAAGGCAGGATGTAGAGGAATCTCGTCAGTGGTGGGAGTAGATTTGGCCGAACCACTGTATACCAGCCCGTAGTGGTGCAGCGCGGGAGCGGGACGGTCCGTAAACTACTAAAATACGGTGCGGCCTGGCACAACGTGACTCGGCCGCAAGCATAGTCCAAATCCTGTAACCGTATGTCATATTGTAGAGTCATGCAGAAAGGAATACGTAGGGAGGAATCTGCCTCTGTTTCATCTCCTTTTAGGTGTAAACATAGCAATCAACCATTCGGTTAGAGGCGGGAATCATCAGTATAGCCGTCTAGCGGGTATGCAAAAAGTCAGGTAGTAAGCTGTTAGAGAGAATGACGGCAGAAGCGTGAAGCACTAGAAAAGAGTCGATTTAGTGCTAGAACATGGAATGAAGGATTTAGAGAAAAAAAGAGGGATACGTGAAAAGCATAATAAAAAGACAGAATTAATATGTGAGTTGAAAGTAATGATCTTGCTTCGCTTGGCAGTTGGCTGTCATTGTGTTGTCATGATTCATTATCTGGAAATGGCCTTAGAAAAAAAGAGCTATGAAAGACAAGGCGACATTCTACGATGGGGGAAGCATGATTAATTTTTGCTAAAAATTCCTTCGATTTCGTTGCTAAAATTCCTTCAATTTCGAACCTTGACGGGGAAAGAGAGGCATATAACAACAATGCAAAATTATTGTATGAAGGGCTCGAAAATTGTTAAAATCACGTCAGTGCACGAACAAAAATCTTCGTCACCATAGAGTTTTTTAACAGTCGCAGATTTTAAAGCAGCAGCCTGATGCGAGGGATGGACAGGTTTTCCTCGTTGCTGTTTCTAACAAGTGAATTCGTTTGCGAAATTTTTGCGAAGGAGCTACAGCATAAAGCACGGGGGGAGGGGTGCGTTCCTCATCGATACTTGAATACTTGAGCAGTAGCTGTATGTCATCGACATCCGTTGTCACCCCATCGATGCAGCACTGACAACTTCTCCATTCGATTCGTTGTTGCGCTCTCTGAGTCCACCTGGTACCGTACAGGTGTAGCATGGAGTCTCCTCACCTCACTGGTGGCCTCCGCAGTGTGCGCTTGACTCTGCGCGGATACCATTCCATTATCTGCTTCGTCCATCCTCATCGATATTCAGCAAAAAATGTGCCGTATGGACAAAACTAACAAGTTGCTATGACCCTGGCTGTATTGCGATTTCGACGATGAATGTTACAATGCCTGGTTGAGGAGCAGGTTTTGGGTGGGCGAAAATATGCTGGTTTCACAAAAAAGTACTGCAGCACTTTTTCTGATAGCCCGAATTCGACTTTGATCAAGAGAAATAGGTAAACTGATAGTAGTAGTAGTACGGGTGGTTGGTATAGGGCTTCCTGTTTTTACTGATATTTTGAGTCATACATTTCGGGGAAGCCACTCAATCCGAAGGTCTTTTTTTAGGAGCAAGAACTGTTGCAAAGTGGCGATCCACAATATGCGCATTATGGTGGGCCGCTTCATGTCA